ACAGTTCTTGCTCTTCACTGTAGTTAGTGTTTGAGATAAGCCTTTACAAATAGAATATGAGATTGGAACTTGCTAGTTTCATGCTTTGCGGTAACTGAAGAAGATAGATTTTCTGGATTTAGCTTTGCACAATATGTAATCGTCAGATTTTCATTGACCATTCTAACAAATTTTAACGGGAAATAATATGTAGCTACTTAAACATGACATTTCAAGACTATCCGCCAAAAATTGCTAGATATTTCCATGTAATTCCTTTGATGAATGTACAAGAAACAGTACAAGAAACAAAGACAAAAACTTCAGCTCTAGAGCTGAAGTTTCCTAGTTACAACATAGAAACTTCAGCTCTAGAGCTGAAGTTTTTGTTTTATAACTGGCAAACTTCAGCTGTAGAGCTGAAGTTTTCCGGTTGTACAAAAGAAAAACTTCAGCTCTAGAGCTTAAGTTTTTATTTTATAACTGGAAAACTTAAGCTGGAAAACTGCTTAAGTTTTTATTTTATAACTGGAAAACTTAAGTTCTAGAGCTGAAGTTTTCCAGTACAAAAGAAAAACTTCAGCTCTAGAGCTTAAGTTTTTATTTTATTACTGGAAAACTTAAGCTCTAGAGCTTAAGTTTTTATTTTATAACTGGAAAACTTAAGCTGGAAAACTGCTTAAGTTTTTATTTTATAACTGGAAAACTTAAGCTGGAAAACTGCTTAAGTTTTTATTTTATAACTGGAAAACTTAAGCTCTAGAGCTTAAGTTTTTATTTTATAACTGGAAAACTTAAGCTCTAGAGCTTAAATTTTCCGGTTACAAAGACAAAAACTTCAGCTGAAGTTTTCCAGTACAAAAGAAAAACTTCAGCCCCGTGGGCTGAAGTTATGTGAAAAAGCGGGTACGCTTGTAATTTTTTTTGCAAAGCGGGCACAAGTTAAAATTTGACACAAAAAACGGGTATAGATGCAAATGCCCCTTATATTCTATGGGATGTTTTCGTGAAAAATTCAAAAAGTATTATACTATAAATATTAAAATTTTGAACCTGTAATTTCAATGAGCTCATTAAATTTAAATGTTAAATCTGCCTTTGAGTATATTTTATTTAGATATGTTTGTTATGCACAGTAGGTTCAGACTTTCCTGTAATGGTGTTCCTTCTCAATTGGACGAATTTTGGCAATTGTTAGTTTGGAAATCCATTTGAATTCAAAGTCTAACCTTAGTTTTTTTTTTTTTTTTTTTTGTGAAAACAGCATGGCTAGCTATTTTGGACTGGTAATCAAAAAATAGCGAGTGTTTGCAAAGTTATTGAAAAATAACCATTATTTTATGCAAAATAAAATCTGGACAAAAATATCCTAGCTGAAACACGGAAATTTTCAGCATAATATGTTTGATTATGGAGCTCTTGCGTATATATTTCCAGCATATCATGTTAAAATTCCAGCACATCATTCTGGAATCTTATATGTAAAAATTCGAATTTCTAACATATTATGCTGGACTTTTTCTGAAATTTTAAGGGTATTTTTGTTCAAATTTTATCTTTACATGAAAAAGTGGTTAAATTTCGATTACTTTTGTATTTTTCAAACCAGTTGTAAATCAAGGTAATGTTGATTTTCTTTTTCGTTTCCAGCCTCTCCCTCGATTATATAGGGTACGCAGGGCTGGATGAGAAATGGTACCCTCTTGCCAATAAACTTTCCTCGGCCTTCGATTTTTCCCTAGTTCTTTTTATTATTTCAAAGAGAAAATTTATAAAGACCCCATTCAACTTGTCCTGAAAAATTATTTACACACCTAAACTTTACGGGTGTCCTAATACCCCACTATTGCTAAAATAATTTTATTTGCTCCCTCCTAAGCCCTAGCCAGCCGCACGTCTTAGACAACCGAATTGAGCGCGTCCTTACTCTTTTTAATCGTTAAAACCACCCCCAAAGAAAAAGAAAAAGTTAAATTTTTAACGTCAATATAACCCCCAACCAACGGTAAAATCCCTTCTTCCCCAATATTTTACCAAACCCAATTGAAGAACCCTAATTTCTTCTTCTTCTTCTTCTAAATTCCGCCGAAATCGCATCAAATTGCCCTTTGAAGTTTTGATATTTGAAAGCAAAGGTTAATCTTTCTCCTTCTTAAGAACCCTAATTTCTTTCTTTTACTATTATTATGTCTTTCTCCTAAAATTCAATTATCTGATCTTTGAAAGCAAAGACAAATTATCTAACTTTGATATTGTCTGTTTGTGTTGTAGTTGTTGCAATGCCTTCAAAAAGCTTGAATTTGACAAGGCTTTGCACGGAAGATGAAGAAAATGAGTCAAGTGGAGAAATTCGATGCAACCATGGCTAGCTGTCTTTGTTAACAGCTTGGATCCCTTGGAACCCAGGAAGAAGATATTGGATTTGTCCATACTATGGGGTAAATGATAGTGAAAATTCATTCAATAATTGAGTTGTTGAAAATTATTATAGGTTAATTTTCTTTTGTTATTCACTTCGGGTCCACTATCTTGTGATTTTTGGGTTTGGAAGGATTCCGAAATTGATCCTAGGTCCAAACTTGTTATTCCAAAATTGCTTGGCAAAATGGGTGAACTTGAGACTGCATTAGAAGGTTTTGAAAATCTTGCCAAGTCGAGGGCAACTTTAAAGGTTGAAAACACCATAGAAGGGGAGAAAATAAAGAAGAATGAGGCTCAATTGGTGAAATTACAAGTTGATATGGAGAAGATGAAAGAGAAGGAAAAGAAGTGGAAGAGTAAATTGGCTAAGTCCAAGGCTAGAAAAAATATACTTTGGTTCATTATATTGGGGATGTGTATTATACTTGTTGCTTGTAGGTATCCAGGAATGTCATTGAAAGAAGATGCAATGAGGTTGCCATTTTGGATCTAATTTTGTCATCTCAATATGTATGTAGTTGTTGCTTGTAGGTTTTGTTTTGTATGTTTGCAATGGACCTTTCATTTGAATGTAATGAACCTTTTAACGGAATGTAATCAAGTTTTGTCTAATGAAGTGTTGTTTTTACATTGTGAAGTGTTGTAGGTGTGTTCTGCTTGTTTCTTTGTATGCCCAGAACTTGGCAATCAACAATAGACGCACAAAAGACTTAATATGGCAGCTGCATAAACTGTATTAAAACACATATTTGGTCTTATTGACCTAAAAGAAACAGACATAATAAACAGTCACAAAATGAGATAAGAAAACATCTATTTGTTCTCATTGTAGCAGCGGCAAAACAGACACCATAAGATAACAAAATGCGAAATGCGGTCTATAGCTACCTAAAAATCCTTATCATAATACAGAATTGTAGTCTATAGCTGCTTAAAATTTTAGCATAATGCAGTCTATTGCAATACAATCATCAACAAAACAGTATCTTGATCAATTGGGTTGTTTTGCAGTGGTTCCTGGCTCAACTTAGCAGCCCTAGACCTTGTTTGAATGAGTTTCTTGCCTCTCAATTGTAGAAGCTGCCTTGATGTCATAGCTTCTTTGCCTTTCCATTTAACACCTCATGTTGGTTGATGCCCTAGATCTCCAGTTACTTCTGCTGAAGACCACACATTCTTAAAGTTTGTAAAGGACATTCCAGGCTGCCAAAATCCAACAGAAAATCAGACAATGAATTCACCTAATATGAGAGGTTGTGTTAGAACTTACATTTTGAATTTTGAAGCCACTTTGAGTGTGTAAAACTCCCATCCCAACCATCCTTAGCCTGTTTATTATGTTCTTACATCACTGCTAGTACCAACATCCTACACCAACCAATTAAAAGCAAGAATCTAGTAA